TGCTCAAGGGCACCTCTGTAGTGCCCAGATGGTGAACTGGCTCCTCTCCAGCTACCAGTCCACACTCCATATTTTGGTCTGGGCATGGACTTGAACCAGCGACTCACTGGTTCCCAAGCCAAGTCCCTATGGACTGAGCTTCTGCCTTACAAACCACTTATGAATAAAAAGTGTTGGCAGGGCCTCAGCAAAAGAGTTCCAGGGTTATTGATTTAAGATAGAAGTCTGATACAGCTTCTTTTGTACTGACACTGCTGATGGCCACAATAAATATCCATTATTCAGAGAACTGCTTAACTTGCTCCTGACACCTGAAATCTCTCAGCCTTCACAAGTGCATCAATATTAGGTTTGCAAAGTCATCCAGAGGGCCATATTGGATCCTTTCGCGAGCCCACTCTGGCCCATGGGCTGTACATTTGACTAAAAGTACTAGATTCGTCCCTGCATCAGTGTTAGTTATAAAGTATATATGGTTTAGTGCAGGGTGGAGCCCCCTCCAGGGTGTCACAAGATAAACCTGGGGCGGTTATAAGTTGATTAATGGGAGCAGGAAGAAGAAAAATTCTCATAAACCAAGAGGCGTGGGAACCTCCAGTTAATCTTTAATAATTTGTTGTTTATAATAAGCCTTGTGCAATTTTTCTTCATGTATAATCTTGCCTTAGGGTGAAGTCAGGTAAAGTGGGACATCAGGTAAAGTGGGACAAATACGGTTTTACATCTCGGGCTCTTTGAATATTGGCAGCCACTTACCAAACACTTGCTGCTAAGTATACTGTAATGTATAATGTGCAATTTGTCTTAATCCCAATTTTTAAATTTGTATATTTTTATAACTATTTATTATGCTGCACTCTCTCTCTCTCTCTCTCTCTCTCCCTCTCTCCTTCTTGTTTTTATATTCTGAATTTGACTTGGGAAGCCCTGCACAAGAATTCCTATGTGCTTAGACTGTCTGGTTTGTGCACAAATGGCGAATAAAATCTTTGACTTATTCCATTATTACGCAAATGTGCTTTACATGAAAGAATCTCATGTCTTTGCCCCAGACCTTGCAGGGTAAGCTATGTGGCATGTTGATTTTTGGTAAATAGAGTAATGCAGCCAAAACAGTAAGGGTATAGCAGCAAATACTAGTTGTAGGATGCTGCATTTCATTACATATTTGACTTATGATCCACATATTTTTACAATACACTTTACATTTTATGGGAAAAAGGTGCATTTTGGTGAAGCGGGACAAAAAGTCAAGCTAAAATTTGGCATTTTTCCAAAGTGAAAGCATGATTTTAGGGCACCAGATGTCCTGTCGGATTGTATTTTTGTCACTTAAGAATATTAAAGACGATGCAGTGAGTCCATGTCAGCCACAATAGTCCAGAATTAGCCATCACTGTTACACACACACACACACACACACACACATCCATTAGGCAAAATGGCAACAAGGACACAGGCAGCAAAAGAAGAGGGACAGCGTCGCAAAAAAGTTGAAGGATTTTTTAAATTAATAGTTAACTTACATTCAGGATTTAATAAATTAATAACTGAACTCACAAATGTATAAACTGGATTCTAGTTTATTAGTTTAGTAAAGTTTTTTTTGCACAATTAAAACACAAAGAATAAAGAATAATGAGGATAAATAATAATGCAATACAGTGACAGGGAGAGGCAAAAAACCCAGAGACCCAAGTTTCACAAATTTTCACATTTGATCTTTTACAAAACAAACATGACTGTCCTATGTTACCTGAACATGCCAGTATGGGTGGGGTTCTTGCTGTGTTGAAAGGTCCAACAATTATGCACCACTTTACTTTGCAATAAATTTTACAAGCAGAGATCCACAGCAAGTTCTACCAGTGACACTAGTTTCCAGAACTTTGGGTGGTTTTACCAAAAAGTGTCCCACTTACCTGACCTCACCCTACTCGTTTTGTTCCTGTGACCGACACATTAACCTTTATATGAAAAAATATATATATATATATCAATACTGATTCATTAGTGTTTGTTACAAGGTCTTTACATAAAGCTAGGTGGTTTAGTGTAGGGTGGAGCCCCCATCAAAGTGTCACAGGATAAATCTTGAATGGAGCAGGCAAAGAAGGAAGAGGTCACACACACACACACACACACACACACACACAAAATTGCTTGATCTTTAACTGTTGTGTTCAATTAAACTTGTGTTCAATTTTTCCTTTGTTAAATCTTGATCTGTAATGTAGTGGAGTACAAGTAGCAAAAATATGAATATTCAGCTAAAGTACAAGTACCTAAACATTGCACTTACTCACAGTATTTGAGTAAATGTACTTTATTATTTTGGACCACAGGGGAAAGCAGCCTACTAACTGTTCCCATGTAGGCTACCCTGCAGAGTCAAAGTAAACTGAGTTGAACAGCTTCATCTGAAACTATAAGCCTCCTCATCATCATTAATACCCTGCAACATGTAAGGTGTGTATGCTGCAGTGTTGCGTTTAGGGTCTCTCATCCAACCAATGATTGCATAACAGCTCACCTGTTCAGGTCTGCCTTCAGAGAGGTGCCGACCACATGGACGACGCTTATAGTAGTACTTTCGACCTCCAGACGACATGTGCGGCAATATCCTGAGCTAAACTTCATCCTCCCAGGTTCCACAGCATCAGAAGAATCCCTGCCGTCAGCACTTGAAGCCATGGTTGCTTGCTGTCTGCCTCAGACCGATGAGTGATTTTCGGGACGGTGTCGCCTGTTTTTGCAGGGATGCCGCCCCCTCGTTTGTAATTTGACACAGAAGAGATAATACCTGTTGGCAGACGTATCGTGGCAGTTAATGTCAAAGAAAATAATAACGTGTCGCAATTCAGTCATAGGATGAATGCTCCATCGAGGGGTGTGGATGCTGATGTGATGACAAGGTGAGTCTTCTTTTTCCGCAGGGCTTCCCAAGCTTCAGATGTGTGCAGATGAAAATGATACAATAGTGCAAGAGTCCACAACTTTAATATGATTTAGCACATATAGATCATACTGCAGCTATATGGAAATGACAGGTGCATGAATGAAAACTTGGCCTATATAAGAATAGCAGACTTTCTGCATATTATGCACAGGCTATTACGCAATATGTTCTCATGACAACAACCACTTCAATCAATCAATCAACTTTATTTGTAGAGCGCTTTTCCTGCACGGACATGCAACACAAAGTGCTTTACATAATTAAAAGCAATTAACACAATTAAAGAAAGAAATACAATTACAAAGAAAGAAAGCCCCCCCCCCCCCCCCCCCCTACTAAACACACACACACACACACACACACACACAATCACACACACAATCACACACAATAGGGAGACATGGCATGGCACTGAGGAACACTTGGCAAAAACAGGTCAGGTCAGGTCAGGTCAGGTCAAACAGGTATCCGGATTCCCCTTTGACCGCGGGAGAAACATTACACAATCTGTAACAGTTAAAAAAAAAGTATCTATCTATGTGTATGTACAGAATATAGGGTGGACTCCAGTGCGTCATGCCATACACTGCCACCCACTGGCCAGGTGTTGTCAGTGCAACACAAATCTTCCAAAACCAAGATGGCCGACGGAGTGCTAGAAGTGTTGTGCAGCTCCAGAATATCTTGCCAATCCTTATATAATAGGAGACCCTGGCAGGTAGATAAAATCTGGTAACATCAGATGACATCCAAGGAGTAATTTTCCAAGTATTAATTTTATATTGTGAGGAAATTACATTTAATCATCTGTCCACTAAACTGGACATCATGCACCTCTGGCTATATTTCAACTACAATTAATTGGTACTGCAACTTTGTTGTTTTTGAAATTACTTCATCTGCACTGACTTTTCTTTGGCTGTAAATCAATTAATTTATGTTATTAGAAGGTAATATACAGTTTTTGTAACAGAAGCAATATTTAGCCCCTTTTTTTGTTAGTTTTTTTTTTTGCAGAAAATGTTCATTGAAAAAAATGATATAGCTCAACAGGAGGAGGAATGTGGGGAGCTGAGGAGTGAAGAAGAACGAGTTGAATGAAGGAGGGGGTACAGAAAGGAGGAGCAGAAAGAGAGAGAGAGAGTCAGGAGCAAAGTTCAACATCTTTGCATGGCATTGAACAGTATTAGAATATGTTAAAATATATGAGCAGAGTAGTTTAACAGCATTAAGAATATAATTTTTTTATAGTTTCACATAATATGTATCAACCTTTTAGTTGGTTTATATGTCTTTAGTTGAAAACTGAGTGGACATGTAAAAAACTCAGTGAAAAATGCATGTTGAAAAAAAAAAGAACTTCAGATTTTTTTCATGCCTAAAGAGGATTAAAACACTTAAGAAAACAATCTTGGCTGAGGTTGTAATAATTCATGCATGAAAAGGTTAAGATAATAATATTAAAACTAATGCCACATATTCTCAAACGTCTTTTTATAACTTTACTGGGCTTTATTTGCCTGATTATATTAAGCCATGCTGAAATGTTTTTGTTAGTAACGTACTTTGTTGATTTGTTTTGCTGCTGGTGGAAAGTTTATATTAATACCACTTCTACTTCTAATAATAATATTTCTGATATTAACCCACTAATATAACTTCTAGAAACACGCTACATGACTTTGTTTTACTGTTGGACTCTTGATTTCAAAGGGGCATTATGCGTTTGATATGTAAATATGTGATAAAAATAAATTAAATGTGTTTTTTTCACATGTGAGATTGTGTGGCACGACTATTCTGACGCCATGCTATTTTAAATTTGAAACTCTCAAAAGGCATGGAGCGGATATTGTCACAAACGACCACAAGGATGTAAAATAATAATTCATACCAGGGCAGCTCTGAAAAACTTACAGTAGAGGCCACCACGAAAACATATTGGCCTGCGGTCCAATCAGATTGTGGCATTTTTTTGACAGGCTTGAATACGGACCAATAGGAGAGCTGTAAACATGCTGGAAAGGGGCGGGATCTGGGATATTGTGTGTCATCAACTCAAGGCGCTTTGTTGTTCTTGCGGGACGGAAAGAAGGAGGAAATTTGTTGTAAACATCCCGGGTGAAGCAAAGATACTATTACACATGGCTTAATGTTGTCAAGCGCCAACCAAGAGTGGAGTTAAACCGATGTCGCAGGGTGAAAAGTGGCGTATTTGCGGGACCGAGACAGCTCAGCGTTGAGCTAGCATTAGCTACTCCGGGAGGGTGTCCACTGTCCAGATTGGAGCGGAAGGAATTCCAGGCACTGCGAAGAAGGGGAGAAATCTTTGCTGGGATGCCTCACGCAAGTTGGGAAAAAACATATTTTAGGGCTCCGCCTGGCATCACAGCACTATCAACCTAAAGCATGTATTCGCTTGAATGATATCAAATTGCAGGAACGATTTAATGGTGGTTTGTAACAGTTAACGTGCCAGTTTAGCGAGTTAGCCACGTAGCTACGTAGCCCTCAGTAGGAAGACATTTAAAATGGCGGAGGGTTGGCCCATTCCTTCGGCCCTTGTCTTCATGCTGCTGAGTTTGAGTGCCTGGGCTCTGGAGTCTTGTCCCACTCCTTGCTCTTGTTCTAAAGGGCAGGATGAGGTCCAGATTCTGGACTGCAACAGGAAGAGGCTGTCCTCAGCTCCTGTGGACCCACCAGATGGGATAACCCAAGTGTAAGTACACAAGAGTGTTGAAGTTTGTCCTGCACTGAATCCACTACACTGATTTGTTATTCAACCAAGGAGTGTGCCATAACATACCAGTAAACCACATTAGATGTAGCCTCTTGTAGCCACTTGACTCCAAGTCGATAGGATCTTACCCACAGAAATTTCTTTATGATATGATCTGTTTTAGGACATAGGTTAATGACCTTATTTTAATAACAAAGGCATCAGTGGAACAGATTAAAAAGCATGGTCATCACATCCAAACCAACTTATCCAGTAGTCTCTAGAAACTGTAAGTGATATGTAAATCTAACACAACTTATATTCAGTTGTCACGCAGTTTACCTAGCTGAACACAATGCAGTCAAATACAACAGACCTGCAATATGTCCACCTTCATGAAGGGTTGGTTTTTACTTATTTATATTATTGATCATTGTGAATATTATAGTACATTGTACAGATACATATTTCATTTTATAACACTGAAAAATTATCACTTCACAAAACAAAATTTAAAGTATACGTTGCATTGTATGAAAACCTGGATATAATACACCATATTTGTCTTTATTAGATATGATTTTAACAATTATTTGAGAGGTCATAATAGCTTCCTTGTTCATTTTTATTAGGGATGCACAGTATTGGATTTTTTGCAGCTATGCCGATATATAACAATTTATTTGGCTGATAACCAATATTGATAAATCCACTTTTTTCCCCACCTAATTTTACCAATTATTAAGTCTGTAGTGGAATTAACATCATATTATGTAGCATACTCTTATCGTGATGGCCCACAAGCTGATTGAGACATGAAATAAATTGCTTTTTAATGTGTGTAATATTCATTCATTGTGCAGAATAAAATAAATAAGCATGTAGGCTGATTCTAATAGTTCATTTTAAAGTTGATATTGGCCGATACCGATGGCGTCCCAAATTATTGTGCATCTGTAGTTGTTATCTTAGAAATAGAGTCAAAGAAAGATTGTAGTTCAACATAAAACAAACATATAATTGGTGTAATCTGAAACACTCTAGGCTTATGGATGTTATATTTGCCAACAAGACATATACGTTTGAGAGCAATGTCAGTAGATTGTGATCCTGTATTGCAATTTAGAAACAAGACCATGTCTTGTTATATCTTTCATGAAGGTTATAACTTTATAGCATTCATTTAATTATTTTTAAACCAGTCTAGAGAGGTGTTTACTCACGTTTATAGTCACTTTAGGGGTCGTAATTTGTGGTGCTGTTAATTTGTATTGTATTCTTTCCAATATTTGCACCTAATTAATATAATAAAAAAGTCTCTCAATGAAATACAGTCCAACAGCATCAAGATTACAGTCTCCTACGTGACTTAAGCTAACCATCACTTCTACTATTGTTTAAACAAATACTGAACATTATAACAATCTCAGTGATAGTAATTAATGCTGGGCTGTTTGATGGATGAATCAAGCTGCGGTGAACCTGATTAAATTTCGCAGAATTTCTAGAACATTTTGTGAGGAGTTATGCAATCCATGAGGTGATGATTTAGTGTTTCTATTTCAGTTATTCCTCAGCTGATTTACTCTGCAGTCTTTTTTAATATGAAGCTAATATTTTGTTGAATTTCATTTCAGCACTATGAATCACAATGAGTTGACTGTTCTTCCTTTTCTCGGAGACGTTTCCTCAAACATCACGTCGCTGTCATTGTGAGTATAGAATCCCCTTCAGGTTTTCTAGCCTCTCCTGTCTCTACCAAAGTAAATATTTAAAATAAGCCTTGAATTTCTTTATGTAAATGTATAACTCCTCCAGGTCTTTGTTTCTTTACATGCTTTTCCCAAAGAAAAAAGTCTTTATGTCATGTCTACAAATATACTAAACCAGAAACATTGGTACTGTTAGATATTGTCTTTTGTGACTCAGTACCCGATGTGAGTTTTTCACAATGTTGGTGTGATTTGAGTGTACCATAGACGTAGTATGTCATAGTACTCTGTGTTGTTATGATTTGAAACTAATACATGTCATATTTTTTACACGATTCAGAGTCCACAATCGGATCTCAGAGCTTTCAATGCTTCAGCTGCAGCCATACATTTCCTTGGAGACACTAGACCTGACATCCAACTCCATCTCCGAGCTCAGAGTTGGATCCTTCCCTTCCATGCAGCTGAAATATCTGTAAGTAATCACCCATATATAACCTTTTTTTTTCTTTATCAAGGAAGGTCAGGTGAAATTGCCTGCAAGAATAGCCTGACAATACACTGAATGAATGAATATTTTATTTTCGTGTGTGGACACTTACATGACCTATCTTTTATGGGATGATTCAGACACATTAACCAATAACAAACCAAACATTGTGATACAGCAACCCACCATGATCCAACAGCACAATACATAATATCATCCAGGCATAAACACAAACAGTATTAGGCAAAAGAGAAAGACATAAACCTCTCACAAACAATGCATCCAGACTTATCCCTCAACAAAAAGAGGCTCAGAGCACAAACAAGCTGAAGGTTAAAGAAAATAAAACTAGGAAGCACTCAAAATGCATATATCTGCCAAGGATGCACAGTACTGCACAAGCATTGAATTTTAACAATAGAAAACATCTAGGATCCAATCTAATATAATTACAAAGACACTAAAGCAGCTTACAATCGTAGAGACATTAATGGTATAAAAATGGAGAGCGGGATCTGAATAATACAAACTCAAGATGACAAAGCAGTAATGGCTGTACAAGGTATTACAGAGAATATATTAAAGCAAAGCAGTACCGCACAGTGCAAGACATTTCAAGTACACAAATCAAGTCAGAGCACAAAAGACACCTTGTTTTGATCATTTCATTGTCGGTAAAGAAGCATCTTTTTGTAGAACAGCTGCAGTGCCTCCTCCAGTGGATATTCACATATAGTAGATGTAACTAAAGAGCCAACAATCTTCCCTGTGATGATTTTGGCACTAATGTCTCTGTTCTCCTCTCGCCTTTTCTCAAAGGAATTTGAGTAATAACAAGATCAGTGTCCTCGAGCCCGGCTGCTTTGAAAACATCTCCAGCTCCCTGCTGGTGCTGAAGCTGAACAGGAACAGATTAGTTGTGCTGCCATCCAAAGTCTTCAAACTTCCACAGCTTCAGTTTCTGTAAGTATCGCATAATGTAAAACTGAAATAATTTGTCAAGAATTTAACGGTTGATAGTTGGCAGACAAATCTGGATTTTAATACAGCTGTAACAACTCGTACTTAAATAGCTGGCTGAATTTAATGTAGATCCAATTTTTTTTAAAAAATCCAGTGGACTATATCCAGCTTTTGGTATAATGTACTTTGTTGATGAAAGCTGGCCCTCGCTCTCGTTTTAGTGAAATGAAGCGCAACAAGATCAAGATAGTGGACAGTTTGACATTCAAAGGGATGGACTCTCTGAGGTCACTGAAGATGCAAAGGAATGGCATCACGAAGCTCATGGATGGAGCCTTTTTTGGACTCAACAACATTGAAGAACTGTAAGTACATTGCTGTGGACGTCTTTAAAGTGACATTAAAGAGCAGGTTCATGAGCAACTGTGGAACACTAAAGTGTAGCTCTTTTTAAAGTCACCATAATGAGCTTGGTAATTGCACAAATATTGGTGGGAAATATTTGCTTTTTACTGTATTTTTCTTATGTCTTTTGAAATTTTGTGGCCCATTTCTGCCAAAATCTTCCTGGCAGATTTATCAATAAATTCTAAAAATTATAGTTTTTTGTTGATGCCATTTTGTTTATCCCATCTGTGTCTCAGAGAGCTGGAGCACAACAACCTAACAGAGGTCAACAAAGGCTGGCTGTACGGGCTGCGCATGCTGCGTATCCTGCGGGTCAGCCAGAATGCTGTCGGCATCATCCGACCAGACGCCTGGGAGTTTTGCCAAAAGCTGGAGGAACTGTGAGTGTGTTTGCTTCCTAGCTAAAATCCCCACGCAGCTAAGAGTCCCCACTTTCTTTCATCAGCCCCGGGCTCTGAAATTCATTCTGTGTGCTCAGAGGAGTTACTGTTATCTTGCTGCAGTACTTTTGGGTGTCTGGAGCTGATTCAGTGCTGTCTTGCCTCCGGTGGATGTACTGCATATGTTTGTAGCAATTTTGTGGAAATGCCTCAGTTTAGATAATCATTCTTTAATGTGGAGTCGAATTAACACACACGATGGTGTTAAGGAAATGGTTTTAACTAATCTCTCTCATATTTGTGGTTGTTTTGTGCAGGGACTTGTCCTTCAATCATCTGACTAGACTTGAAGAGACGGCGTTCATAGGATTAGGTCTCCTGGAGAGCCTGAACCTCGGAGAAAACTCCATCAGCCATTTGGGAGAGGGAGTGTTCAGTGGCCTGGCAAGTCTACGCACCCTGTAAGTGCTTCACCTTAAAGAAATCCATCTGAAATATCTGTTACCTGTTCTATCTAACAAGTGTGATTAAGTGCAGTATGCGAAATATAACGCTCCTGACGTGTTCTTGGCTCTGCATTCTCATGAAGGCTGCTGACAACAGTAGGTCTGTGGTTTGTTTCACTCTTCATGTGTAGTTCTAGTCCTGTCTTGAACACATTTCCCAAGTAATCCTAAGTAGTTTAGAGAAATAACAGTAGAGCTTGCCAGTATTTTAAGTCTGCGTCCTCTAATACAGTCTGTGTTGCGTTCTAATCCTGATTGTCATTAGTTGTCTGTTTAGTTTTAGATCAAACCACCCAGTGTGTAATTTCTGTATAATCCTGTTCTCTTGGTTTTGTGTCTTCTGCCCTACCATTCACTGCGAGCATCATGCTGATTTCAGATCAGTTCAAACCTGAAAAATTCTGAGTTCTGCTCACTCACAGGAGAAGCAAGCATAGGTGTCTCACTTGAAATTTTAAAGCAGTTGAAGCTTTATTACTATGTGCAAACATGTGAAAGCACATAGGGGCCTTATGATTTCCATGACAATGAAAACACATATGGAAACACAGAGTTTAATTAAAAAAATATGCTCTCTGTGTTGGAGTTTCACAGAAGGTGGGACTCAGCTCCTCCACACACACTGGCAGGGTGGCTGACACAGGGGGTCAGCTGTTGCAGAGACTCCGCTGTGCTCTGTGCTCCTCGAGTTTAGCGTCTGGCCACGAAGATGCGACTGACTGCTGACGCCAGCTTGACTGCAGACCTTTTCTTGATTAGCCAAGTTAGGTCAAATCCTGTGCCTCTCAGGTGGTCCTGAGGCAGCGTTTGATGTTTCTGCATCAAGCCAGCCATCACTTGCATCTCTGTGGTCAAATTGCCAACTGATTTTTTGATTGCACAGGTAGATGTTAGCCTGCTGTGGCATTACTGCCTGTCACACCTCTTCCAGTGCCTGTGGGTCAGCTGCAGGGATGTCAGTTAGGTACCTCCGATCTTCAGTGTTTCACCTCTTGAAAACCCAAATGTCTCCTGGTGGTGGGGCAGCGGCAGACACGTCTCCCTGCCCCCTGTGCAGCTAGCCCATGTGCTAGGTGTTACCCTAGTGCTTATCTCCTCTCTTGAGCTAGAGCCAAGAGCTGCTTTTCTCTGCTTCTTCGGCTAGGTATTTCAGGGCCTTCCGCTGGCTTGCTCCTGTTACCCCCATTTCCTTCAGGATGTGGACAGCTGGGTAGGGTAGATGCCCACTTGCGCTCCTCTGTGAGATCAGAGTATTTCAGCCTCTGCCTCTTTGAGGCAGACTCCATTCCCTTCTCTCAAGGGACAGTCAGCTCAGTGAGGAGCGTGGTCTTGGCACTGCTAGACCACAACACTGTGTTTGGTCTAAGGCTTTTGTTGGAGATCTCACCAGGGAGCCAGAGCTTCCTGCCGAGATCGACTCTTACACTCCAGTCCAGGGTGGTGGGAACTACTCTAGATGTGGCTTATGGTGTAGCACTTGTATTGCCCCTGCTTTCTCAGGCAGACTGTATTTGGTGGCTTGCTGGTGAAGGATGGCGTCTGCTCAAGTCCTGTCTGCGCCTTTCCAAAACCTCAGCCAGTCTTCTTAGGACTTGGATGTGTCGTCACCTGTTGCACCCTTGGGACAGCACAACCTTGCAGCCTGACAGGTTGTGCTGGAGATTTGTATTTTGAACTGCTGCGGGGAGGGGGGGGCAGCAGTCTTCCTGGCCAGACCACAGGTGTAGGTTCAATGGGCAGGGAGGTGTGTTGTATGTTGCCCAGACGTGGAAGCTGAGCCATGCCTGTGGGGTCATTCACTGGTTTACCATGCTCATGTTTCTGCTGACGACGCCCTCCCATGGTGTCCAGCTCCCTTGCTGTCCCTGTGCTATGGTCTTGATTATATAGTGCCCATTTGTTATCCTTGTCACCTTGGAAACCACCAGTTCTTACCTCTCCCTCTTGCTGGCCTTGTACCTGAACAGTGGGGCCTCTCCCCATTCAAGACCTGACCTTTCTGTCTGGACTCTTCCGGTGACCTTTTGGTGCTGCAGCCTGCTAATTGCCAGGTCAGCTTTAGCGTGCGCTTTCCCCTCGCAGCCAGTGTGGAACTAAATTTGAAGTGAACCCTTATACTGACCTGTAAATGCAGTGAAATGGCCCAGGACACACACGATTACGTAGAAATCCCACTAAATTGCGAGGGAAAGTAAGGCCTACAATATTCTTTGAAGTTGAGTAGCTGGAAAAAAAGCCTTACAGTGATCGACGACCCTGCAGTCATGTGAAAGAGGCCCCTTAAATGTGTTACATAAAATTCATTGATATCCATTAATTTTGGAATCTTTTGCTATTGAATTGTCAAAATGTATTAATCCACGACCTGATTAGACTCTTTCTGATGACAAAATGTACTTAAATTGAAAAATGGAATTCAGAAAAAATAAACAGAAAACAGAATTTGGTAAATAAATAAGAATGGAAAAACATCCGGAGAAACTCATAACGGATTGAATAGGGCCCTAAGCATACATTTCTAAATAGAATATTTGAGAGGAGAGGCAATATAGTGTTAGTGCCGAGTTCAGGTCTTTCATGTGAACCATGTACTGTATAGAAGATTGTTGTAATATTGTGCAGGGGGAGAGTAGACTGGCCTTCACACTGTAGCTGAGCCAGAGGCCGAGAGGTGAAGGTTGGTAATATCTTTTGTCAGTGTGGGTAGAGCAGCAGCACTCCTCCTGGTCTGGGATTTGAGTTTGTTTTCCTTTTAATATTTTATCAAGCAGGGATGAAATAATATCAACATACAATATGCTCAACATTTCAGTGTCTACTGAGCGTAACAACAAATAACACAGCAGCTCCAGCTTTGTCAGGGAGGAATTGGGATTATGCTTTCTTGGGTGTTTAATAAATACTGTTTACCTCTCTGTTAGGGGAGTTATCCTTTACAATAATGTCCTCCTGCACTTACGCACCTCATGTCAGTGCCACATAATGCATTGCTTGGTACAACAGTGGTATAAATCTGCTGCTTTTACTCCTTTCTATTCACACAATGTATGTGGTTGCAAAGTATTAGACGACAGTTCTGAACCACATTAACACCACCACAAAAGCTTTGAAAATACTGTGTAACTAAGGCTCAGAATATCAGCCTAACTGAGCAACTACGTTTTCTTCTTCATACCGTGAGATGAGATGTGTGGAAGAAGAGAGGAAGTTGTGAACTCATTATTTGCCACGCAGACTTCCGTCTAATCCACTGAGCTGCAACAAGAAAGAGGTCGTATTCGGGAGCTTGACTATCCTGGGAGCTTTCATGGGAGAGAGGAATCGGAGAGTGCCGAAGTTCTTTCAAAGGTGGCCAGGCATGAGGAAAAAGAAACAAAGGAGCCCATGACCCATCCTGTAAACACAAGGCCTCTCTGTGTTTCCAATGGACCCATGAACTGTCCCAGTGTTAAACAGAGCCAATTAATTTCCCCTCATCAGAACAGCAGGAGCAGCGAACTGTAACACACAGTGGAAGCATGGTGTCTCAGATTGTTAGTCTCCTAACTGAGAGTCACTGCTACTGACAACCACAGTGGAGATTAATATGTCCTCTCTGTGGTCTTTAAAAAACTTTGCTGGAGGAGTCATCACATCTTCAGTCAATGTAGAATGTGTTTAATATCTAAAATGTAACCCTTTGTTTTGCAGAGATATCCGCAACAATGAAATCTCCTGGGCCATTGAAGACTCCATTGGTGTGTTTGATGGAATGAAGAAGCTGAACACGCTGTAAGAACTCTCAGATTATATACCCATACAGATAGATCGGAATATTGACAGAGTTTGATTTGATTTATAGGACAAATTATCTTGCATTTAGACAAATACAGCCAGTGCAATTAAAATTCTAAATCAGCGTTCCAGAGATTTGGCTGTATTCGTCTTTTCTGGTGAGAAACGCCTCCTGATAATGTGAAGCTTTGTTCAGATAGGTGTTTTTGTACTTGACAGGTTTTATTTTGCTGTGAAATTGTTCCTCTTGTTTACTCAGACTTGAATTGGAAGGTTATTCAGATGTCTCAACTTCATCTTAAAGCTACAGTTGGTAACTTTTATGAAAATAACTTTGTCATGATTGCTGAAACTGTCATTATATCCACACTGTAGTATGTAGAGACAGACAGTCTGTGAAAAACGTCACATTCCTCCTCCTCCTTGTGCTTCCAATGGCTTTTACTGGCATCCACCTCAGCTGAAAGAAAACAACCATCAGGGCCAACCAGTCACTAAGGCAGCTGTCAGTCACTGCTCGTGAACTGCAGTCAAACTGTCAAATGAGGCAGTGCTGATCAAATATGAATCAAGATTCTGTAACTGCATTGCCTATTTCTTGCCTCAGATGCTTTAGTGTACTGTTTAGCTGTAAAATGAGACCGTTGCTTCTGCTGGTAGGCAGTGCATTGTTCTTGCTCTACTGTTTTCAACATGGCAGCCAGGTCACTAACACTCTCATTTTGCAGCTAAACAGTACGCTAAAATATGTGTCTGAAAACATTTTAGGTAAGGTAGGTGCAGTAACCGAATCTTGATTGATATTTGGCTAGTGCTGCCTACTTTGATAGTTTGACAGCAGTTCACGAGCAGTGATATGACCGTTTCCCCAGAACACTTCCGGTATAGTACCTTTGGACAGACATGATGCGCAGTCCCTGGCTTTTCCACCACAAACAGTACTCTTAATGTGGGCAGGATTGTTGTCACTCACTGCTCCATCCAGCACTCTCTGTATTTCCTCATTACTGGTGACACAGATGGAAGTCTGCACCTTGTTTATCGTCCACAGCAGAGGCTGCACGCCGATATTTTCACAACAAAATAGAACAGATTGCAGTGAGAGTCTCTCCCCATGGATTACATGAGCCTCAAAACAACTCAGCCCTGAGCAAGATTGACCAATCAACAGACTGCAGTGTTCACAGCTCTACCTTTTAGTACCAGATCTGTGTGCTAGGTATCCCAACAGAGGGGGGACCAAAAAGGGAGATGGTACAGAACGTAACTGAACCGTACTGTACTGCTCGGTGGAAACAGGGCTATATTTTAGTGTTTTGTTAGCTGTAATGTGAGACAGTTGTTTCTGCTGGTAGGCCGTGTATTGCATTCGCTCTACTGTTGTCAACATGGCAGGTGGGACACAAACATATTTGATCAGCGCTGCCTAATTTGACAGTTTGACCGCAGTTCAGGAGCAGTAATTGACATGATTGACAGCTGTGTTAGAGACTCCTTCTGATTGATTGTTTTCATTTACTTGTGGGTAAATTCTAGCCAGTGCTATTAGAAGGACTGCGAGGAGGCAGAGGAACATGATTTTTTTTTGTCATGTGGCACTGTGTTGATGTTTTGACTGTTTCAGTAAAAATTACAGTTATTTTTATAAAAGTTAACCAACTACAGCTTTAACAATAACCTCTGATGCAGTGTTCAATAAAATGTTACCCTAGAGCAGGTTTTGTGTCAACACCTTTAATGAACATCACATTAAAAATGTTATTCCTGTTTTATTTTACAGAATCATTCAGCGGAACAAAATCAAATCAATCACTAAGAAAGCGTTTGAGGGCCTGGAGGAGCTGGAGCACCTGTGAGTAAAGCCGATGCACGCCCTTGTTGCTCCACACAGTTACACTTGTGTCTCAGAAGGAACTCTTGTTATTATTGAATAATTAAAGATAGCAGGAGACTTTTTTTACCACTGTGCTGCTGTTGTTGTCTTCTGCTTGTGAAATGGGATGCCATTTTGATCACATTAGGTGTGTCTAATCCATATTTCTGTCCACGCTGCAGGGACCTCAGCAAGAATGGCATCATGTCGATACACCCTGAGGCGTTGTCCCATATGAAGCTCAAAGTGTTGTGAGTAGACACTAAATGAATCTTACAGCTCTCATAAGCACATTTGGAAGCCAGCTTTTCCCTGTGTTATTATTGTTTCTTTGACTGATTTAGCAATATTGCTTTCATTAAAAAGGAGTTATAATGCTTAAGTGACACTGCAATTTAAAGGACATAATTAGCATTTTAAATTGCCATTATGCAGTTTTACAAAGACGACGAGTGGATGCTGTGAATGGATAGGAGCACTTTAACTTTGCTTTTGAGCCTTTCACCCCATTTTTGATGACAGCATTTAAAAATATATGTAATTGCCAAGTCATCAGATTGTTGTCTTAACAAAACCATAAACTTAAAAGCTCATTTGGACAAGCAGAGATTTGTATGACTCAGCTTTTGAGTTGCAGTACCATCATGTGCCTTATTAAGACAGCTGTGTCTCCTGCCTGTGAGGACAGACAGTGGAAATGTTAAGTCTCTTGCCTTTTTTGAGGTTCTGCTCAGCCCATGTTAGTGTCTCTCAGGTAGTGGCTAACGAAATGCCCCAGCAGCTGTCAAACTCAGAAGATGTATCATGACAGTAGTCATATCCTGTTATTAATGAGTGCTGCTTTAATAGATTATAGCACTATTTGCTGGGTGAGTTGACGAAGTGGCTTTGTTTGATAACTTAGCAAGAGGAAAAAATGGTTACACCCTGGTTATTAAGATTTATTTTAGGATTAAGTGTATTAATACATGGTTCTGGAGGCAGTGCAAGCAATTAATTTATTTTCCAGTCTTTATTAAGATCATTTAAAGGTTGCTTTCACACCTGTTGTTCAGTTCCCATGTTTTTATTTGTCTCCTGCCGACTGGTTTGAAAATGAGAACGCCGGTGTGTGACTTGGAAAGTGGTTATGCTTTTGAGATGATTAAATGATCTATCATTGTTTGTGTTTTTGGTTGTAGAGAGGGATTGTTTTTTTGTGTGTCTTTACTGTGGCAACAATTGCCTTAGTGTGGAGTTTATCATAAGAAATTTAGCAAAAATCCATCACTCTTCGTTACAGAGACACTATAGGTCTGCCTTTATGATATTTGGTGTAATACAAATACAGCTACTCTTGCATGCTCACTGTCACTTAGTTACTCAGGCAGCACTTGGTGTGTTGTCAGAATAGATAAAGGCAGGTAAATTGAACCTTCATTTCAAGCAAGTAAATCCAAGTTTGCTTCTCTAAAAGGGTGAATCATAGTTCCAATAGTCACAAAAATTCATACCCATTTGTTCACCTCATTTTATCTCTACAGCAGTTTAATGATTCCAACAAATTTTGCAATGACTCACCTCGCGTTTCCTTCATTACCTTTCTGTTCTCAGTGTCCTGAACACGAGCAGCCTGCTGTGTGACTGCCACATGCAGTGGCTGGGGCCATGGCTGATTGACAGCCAGTTCCAGCAGTCTGTCTCCGCTGTCTGTGCTCATCCTGCCAGCCTGCTTGGTCGCAATGTCCTGTCCATCAGCCCGGAAGAGTTTGTTTGTGGTCAGTCCCTTTCTTTCTTTTTTAATGGTCCACTACATCCAATATAGGTACTCTTCAGCCAGCACAGTGGAGAATGTTTGTTGGTGTGAGACAGGAAAATGCACAGATTTTTCATTTTGAGATGTTTTGAAATCACTTTAGTGTCTAGTAAATTATGTTTCACCAATACAGCGCATTATTTCACTCTGGAAGTTTTATTCACAGGTTTCATATACTTTAATTTCATAAACAGTTGCATCACACATCTGTAACACCGTGGTAAACACACCATGCATTGGCATATTTTATGTTGAACACAAACTAATATCTTACATGTCAGTGAAGAGGTCTGCTCTAAAAATATTTTCTAACTTTGAAAAACGCTGAGTGTTGCACTTTCTGTCCTCCACAGATGATTTCCCCAAGCCTCATATCACAACTCACCCAGAGACGTATGTGGCCTTGAGAGGGAACAACGTGACTCTGAGCTGCGTTGCGTCCAGCAGCAGCGATTCGCCAATGACCACAGCTTGGCGGAAGGACGGGGAGGTGCTGTATGATGCAGAAGTGCAAAACTATGCCCGGTACCAGGAAGGAGAGCTGATCTACACCACTGTGCTTCATCTCCTTAATGTCAACTTCACTGATGAGGGGCGCTATCAGTGTGTGGTCTCCAATCACTTTGGCTCCAACTACTCCAACAGGGCCAAGCTCACTGTCAATGGTGAGGATGTGTGCCTTTGTCAATTAATGTGACTGATGATTGTCACTGAGGCTCTTATGTTTTTCTCTTGCTCTGCGGTCGTTTACTTTCTTTAAGCGATAAAGTGCTGGGCTTGCCAAAATGCTATGCACCGAGTCTGGCTCATTTAATTATATATCTATAGTTTATATCTGTCCCACCCTTGACCACGCTTTCTATCCTCTTATCCTCCAGAGCTGCCATCCTTCCTTAAGACTCCCATGGATCTGACGATCCGCACTGGGACTATGGCCAGGCTGGAGTGTGCTGCTGAAGGCCATCCATCACCCCAGATTGCTTGGCAGAAGGATGGAGGCACTGACTTCCCTGCTGCCCGGGAGCGCAGGATGCATGTGATGCCAGATGATGACATCTTCTTTATTGCTAACGTGAAGACAGAAGACATGGGGGTGTACAGCTGTACGGCTCAAAACGCAGCTGGCAGCCTGTCTGCAAACGCCACTCTCACCGTTCTGGGTGAGTCACCTACCTGATCAACAAAGTATACAACTGATGTGTCACAGCTGGGTCATCTCAGCTGAGTCACGCTGCTCAAATTGGTTACTTGTTTAAGTCTGTCGCTCATAACACGCTTGTTTTTATGTTCCCTCTTCTGCAGTCTTAACAAATATCGATGTAAATGGAAACCTTATTGTATCATTTCCGCAGACACAGCTGTTATGTCATATTTCTGTCTCTTGACCTCATACACACCCATTTGAACAGATTGACACAAATGCCACAGGGATAATCCTTTAAATAAAAAAATCAATGAATCCTCCCCTCTTCCAGAAACCCCATCCTTCATGCGGCCGCTGGAAGACAGAACAGTGGCACGCGGTGAAACTGCCGTGCTTCAGTGTATAGCCGGAGGCAGCCCAGCTCCTCGTCTCAACTGGACCAAAGAGGACGGGCCTCTGGTGCTCACCGAGCGCCACTTCTTTGCTGCAGCCAACCAGCTCCTCATCATAGTTGAAGCTGGCCCTGCTGACGCTGGCAAATACACCTGCATCATGTCCAATACTCTGGGAACAGAACGCGGCCACATCTACCTGAGCGTCTCGCCATCACCCAACTGTGATACTGGCACGGGATACGACCAAGACGGCTGGACCACTGTGGGCATCGTAGTAATTGTGGTGGTGTGCTGTGTGGTTGGAACCTCGCTGGTCTGGGTCATCGTCATTTATCACATGCGCAGGAAAAGTGAAGACTACAGTATCACCAACACAGGTCAGCAGTTTCAACACATAGCCATCTGTGATATACAATAAATGTGCCTTATCTGAGCTTAGCTTCTTAGCTTCACCCCCATAATGGCAGCTGTTGGGAAGGCTTGAAATATGTCTCTGGGGCTGGCACTTTGTTGTGAGGATAAGACTGTTTCACAGAACTCAATACCGGCTCACAGAATGTGTCTCTGTCTGTTCCAGATGAGATGAATTTGCCAGCAGACATCCCCAGCTACCTCTCCTCTCAGGGTACTTTGTCAGAGCCTCAGGAAGGCTACAGTAACTCTGAGGCTGGCAGCCACCAGCAGCTCATGCCTCCTCTCTCCAATGGATACGTCCATAAGGGCACAGATGGTGAGTAATCATCCTTTTAAATTCGGTAAATTCCACCATGTGTGACTCTATAAAACAAACCTTTTGGATGAGGATAGTTTTGCTTTTTGTTTTCTCAATGTCAGGAATAATCATTTTGCAATACCTATAACAAGCATTGGGTTATAATGAGGACGAGATAATTATGTCGTGCTCTTGGCATTACAAGTATGGTTCTCTTGCATAACATAAGCACACAGAGTTGTCGCATGAAAGGTAATCTCTGCTCTCACCATTAGACACTCTATAGGGTTGGGTTATGTAAGCATTGTGATTACAAGAGTACAAAGATTGTTACGTCAACATCACAACGATTACAAGATAATTATGTGACCACAAGAAATCAAACACATGAAGATGCACCATCACATGGAAAAACTCACAAAAAAATATTAAATTTCTTTGAATAAATGTCTGTAAATAAAACACAGCTTCACAGATTTGCTTTTCAGGATTCAAAGGTTTTGCACACTCCGATGCTCATTAGGTTCCTGTCTATGAGTTTTTGGATTAGATCGTTGCTGAAACGAGACAGTGACTAATTATCATGTGTGTCCCAGGTGTGTGTTACGGAGACACGGGCAGCGAGGTGGAAACTGAGGGGAATGGCATGCTGCACTGTAGGGTTGGCTCTTTGTTCACTGGCCGTAGCAGCTTCCACCCCGGAGAGCCCCGCGAGGGACTCGCTGGACTCCCCACAGGTTAGTGTCCTCGACACACAAGCAGTTGTGTGGCTTTTATTTATCTTGAAAGGAGTGGATTTTTTCTGCGTTCTTATTGTTCAGCACAGTGTTGTTCATGTCTGAAGAATTTTGAAACTACGATATCTCTGCCTTTCACTAGGCCTTTTAACTTGTCTTGTATTTATGTAGGTGTATTCACATTAAGATGTAATATAGATGGTCTTTTCATACATATGCAAATATTTTAATACAACTTTAAAGCTAATTAAATAAGAGAAAATGTATACCACTGTAAGTAATCACATCAGGATGCTAGTCACAGTTGCAGCAGTGCCAGTGTAGATGCACATGATGATAGACACATGATGTACCCACAAGCGTCCCACATCTAAAAATAATAACCTTTAGTTGTATGGCATCTCTCATACACAAAAGTAAGAGATAAGATCATTTAAACAATAGCTAAAATGTTAAAATGCATTTGAAAAGAGAAGGACAATAAACAGTTTCTACATCCTGGTTATGTTGGAATAAAAATTATCTTTAAAGTATGTTTTGTATGCAGATTCCCTACGGGGTGAAACAGAAAATTAATTTTAAAATGATATTCCAGGTTTTAAAAATGACTTTTGAAAGTGAATGAAAAATAAAGACAAGCTATGAAATAGTTCAATGAATACAAGTTTTACAATTCTCTCATATCTAATTGATATATGGTGAGAATAATAGAAAGTAGTCAGATGATTAATTGTCCTCAAAGCCAGGCATAAAAGACAAAGTTTCACTGACCAAGATCCGTGTTCGTTCTTGCCAGGTGGTGCAGGTCCATTGGTCATCTGCTCCGACTGCTACGACAACGCCAACATCTACTCTCGCACACGGGAGTACTGCCCTTACGCCTACCTAGGGGAGGACGATCCGCTGGACAAGACCCTGCCAGGCCTGAAGGAGAGCTTCAGTGAGCACGCCCAGCACGAGGACATGGCACTGGAGAGCCTCATTAGTAACTCCTCCGTCTTTCTCACTTCACACGACAAAAGGCTGAGTAGCCACACTCCCCCGGAGCACTACGCTAATGGTGAGACTTGGAAACAGACATTTTACCTATTAGAGCAAGGTGGTGACACCGTCTTTTGTCTAGGTGCCAGCTATCATGTCCTGCCTGCTGAGGTGTTTTTTGATAACACACTGAAATTTTACCCTCCTGCAGCTACTGAAAAAAAAATCCCCACCTATGATTCTTTAAACATTTTCCTCTCCTGTTTCTGTGGCTGTTAAAAATCTTGCAGATGCTCAGGCAAGTTTACTCGTAGCTTGACTTATACACAGTACATACAGTGCAAACACTGAGGTCATTGATTTATTGAAGCCATTTTTTACAGGTGAGAGATTTCCCACTGAACTGGTAAACCCATAAGATTGTATTTAAGATAAGATAAGCCTTCAATGATCCCCAGAGGGGGAGTTCAGGTACTGCAGCAGCACAAAGGCAGACATGAGTACAGATAGATAGAGAAGTAAATATCCAGAATAAATAAAATAAGATGTCTATACATACTGCACAAGAGTAGAAGTAGAAATATGAACTATACATGACAATTAAAGACAGTTACAAGTTAATATAACACGGTATGATGAGTAGCTGCAAGTCTGATATATATCTAAACAGCGTACACTAGAATAAGTCGAGACAGAATAGATCTTGAGGCATTGAGTTGACTGAAGCATTTTCTCCCAGCTGAAAACACCAGGCGCTCCTCAGGAAACACTCAGCGGGGGGCTTGAGAGCACTTGAGGTGCAGAGTTTTTTCAGCTGAGATGCTTTGGTTGCATCTGGTTGCCATGATACAGAAAATCCATGGAAGTAAAAATTTTGAGGCAAGGTAGAGTGCTTACTTGCTCTGGATGACGAGAAAGAGCAGGAAGAAACATGATGGCAGAGAGGACAGGCCTGCTGGTCTGTGTGGGTTCATGAGAGGAAACAGATATTAATATATATCCAGTATTTTAACATATTTCTCCTCCATTGTTGTTCAGCACTTGTACATGTAAGATGTGAAGGTTGGTCTTCATGGTGTTTGCTCCTCCGCCACTGTGATTGAATGGCTTGTTAAAAAGTGACAATGACAAGTGCAGCATTTTACCCAAAGTTGTAAAAATTTTCAGCTCTCGGTGCTCTAAACGCCAAACTTGCAGCACTCAGCGTAGAATAGACACATATTACTACGTCAGTGTAGAGACAGGGCACTCCCATTGCAAAGAATGAAAAAAAATTCCCTCAGAAAGAACGCTTTGGTAGACCTGACCTGTTATTGTCTTATTGTGCTAAGAACAATTAAAATCTGTTGAGCAGCTCTTAAGTGGTGCATAATAGGGCTGCAATGATTAGTCGACTAATCGGTAACTAATCGACTATTAAAATAATCAGTGACTGTTTTAGACGTCGACTAATTGGTTTGAGTCATTTTTCATAGAAAAGTTCTATAAAAGTACCCCAAATACTCTTACTGCAGCTTCTTATGCTCAGATATTGGCAGCTTTACACACTCTCCCATGACGATGAACTAAAACCCTTTGGCGTCATTAGATGACATAATTTGGGGGTTTGGGAGAGACAGGCCGACATTTTTCAACATTTTAACACATTTTTCGATAAAAAATGATTAGTCAACTAATTGAAGAAATAATCGACAGATTAGTCGACAATGAAAATAATCATTAGTTGCAGCCCTAGTGCACAGCATGAAAGTTCAACAAATGAAAACAGATAAGGCAAATAAAAATCGAGCAAAATAATTCAAATATACAGACAAGCAAAATATATACAGGGTTCCCACAGAACTTTAAAAAGCCTGAAAAGGCAGTGAATTCATGGATCTAATAACGAGGCTGTTGGTGTGAAATGTCTTAAATCAATCGTTCGTAAGTCTTTAAAATGCAAAGACACAGGAAGTAGGATTTTATGACTCTTTTTTTCTGATGGTGTGTTGTTAAATCTCAAAATAATTCGTAACATCCATTTTTCTTAACTGATATACCGTATGCCTCGAACATTAATGTCACACAGATTTGGGTAGCGAAACCAACAACGCTAATATTTTGTTTTTTGGCTGGGATGTATCCACTCTCTGGTAGCTAGCTGTCAGTGTACCCTGGACAACATGGGGAATTTCAAATTCAATGAAAATTGGCTGTCTGACCAAGATTCTGCTGCATGTCTCAAACCGGTGCAATGCATACGAGGCTTGGTGAACTTTTTGCCAAAAGTCTTAAAACTCACAGTGGGATTTAAGTCAGTGGAATCTGACATGCAGAGTGAAAAACACGCACAGCAGTTTATCTTTAAGCTCTGTTAAACCTCCCTCCGCCCCGCAACAAAATAACTTTTAGCCAAAATTTTCCTGACCCCTACAGAATTGATGTCATGTTTTCTTCTACTGTTTTGGTTATTGTGAAATTTGAATTAAATATCATTCCAAGTGGAGTCACAAATCTCAAATCCAACTTGCCTTCAGCTGTAGCAACCCCATTATACACAAAGTGTTAAGAATGAGACAAAGTGACTGAGCTGTACATTAGGTGGTACAGCGGTGGTTAGGTAGCAGCATATAGACTGGTATGAGCAAACATCTTCTATATGCAGTAAAACTGCAGTGTAGTGTGGTAGTGTGTAATGAATGTGTGTGTGTGGATGGGTAGGTGTGGTTATTGTTCACAGCAGTCAGTAGAGGGCGGAGGGGTTGTAACAGAGGTTACAGCTCTTGGCAAGACGCTTTTTTCAGTTTCTTTGATCTGTTTTTATTGTCCTACACCTCCATCCAGAGGGGAAGAGCACAAACAGACAATGTCCAGGGTGGTTTGAGACTTTTATGGCTTTCTTTTGTAGTCAGCCAGTGTAAATGTTCTTCAGAGGTGGTAGTGTGGTCTCACTGACTCGCTGAGCCGCCTTCACCACACATTGTAGATTGTGCTGGTCTTCCCCAGTGCAGCTGCAGTACCACGCTGTGCAGCAGCAGCTGAGCAGGCTCTCGATCAATACTTGTCTGGATTAATATAGCAAAATAGAAATATTATATAGTCTATGATGAGGTGAGACTGTAACAAATTAACATGGTATGACGTGATATAATACAAGAGATGTGTATTTATTTATATATTTATTAGAGATTGATCTTCCAGATATGATTTGTTCAGATATATAGAGGCTTGTTATGAAGGTTGTTCAGGTGGTGGTAGTACTTATACACTACAGCTAATGTTATATTGTCTGTTGGGATTAGATCAGAAACAACTGTGTAAAAGTCAGCTTAAGGCGAGTTCACATTACACGACTGGCCAACCAGTCTTTGAGTCATGGAGACTATCGTAATCTTTTGAGTGTTCATACCCAGCGACGTGTGTTTCTGTCAGCAGGAGTCTCGCCAACTACGTTACAACCTGTGTGCACACCACAAGATTTCTCCACCTAGCCCTTGCCATCAGAGCCCCAGATAATGCAGTAACGTCACCAAACTACGGTTTGTCACGCATGAACAAAACAGGATATTATGAAGTTCCCCGGCGCTAAACTTTACGCGTCAACATGGATGTCCGACCGCTCCTGATCCTGTGGACACTGCCATTGTTGTTGTTGCTTGCTGGCTTGTCCTCCTTGCATTTCTTCTGTCCTCCTGCATGCTGACGTGGGACATTTCCCGCCTCTCATCGGCCGATGCTCTTTGTCAGTCGTGTCAGCCTTCTTCAGTTTTCTAGCATGCCAGATATCCAGTCCCAGTCGCAGACGAGGGGACGGCTTGTCCGTAGGCTTGTTCAGACTTGTCGTGGCAGACTATCTGCCGACTCACCTCCGACCCAAGGTGTCTCTCAAGATCCTCTGTGGCGTCAAAATAGCGGTGAAAATTGTGTAATGTGAACTAGGCTTAAGTGACCAACGAAGTCTTGCTGACTAATTTGGTTGACCATTAGGGGGCAGCCCTAGTTAGAAGTTTGAAGAGTGTAAAATAACATCTTCATACGGCTTGTTTTGTCTAACAAACACTCCATAATATAAGGGTTTTCAAGTTATGGTTAATATTTGGCAATTTTTCTTGATATATAAAGTGTCTGGTTTGGAATCAGTTAGATACGTAGGCGTCTAAGTACTGTGTTTTACTGTCTTTGCAGATTCTCTTAGCAGGTCATTCTGGGGCGAAGGGGAAGACCCGTCCTCGAAACCCCAACCAGGCGCGTCCCAGCACCCAGTGACAGTACACAGGACACCACCTCTGACTTCCACTGCCGACGGGGCAGAGGAACAGAGTGAAGCAGAGGCTGACTGTTTTCCCAGCCAATGCACACAGGACCACAGAAGTGCCTCTAATAGGACTAACCCTCAGGAGCACCCTGCTCCCACATAGGTCCTTACACTCCTCCCACGTTCTGCCTCTGACTCCTCGTTGCTGCACCCCCCTACTCCTGTCACCCACTACCTCCAAAGAGACTCCTCACATTCTGCCAAAGATGCTCTCTTGTATGTTTACATTCCCCTTTCACTCAAGAGGACATACAAACGTTCTCCACTGTGGAGAGACTGCTGTGTCAGGCTGGAAAAATGGACCAGTGATTAAATTGACCTCCTCCTTGACACCTCCACCTCTGCAGGACCCTTTTCTCCTACATCCTCCACTCTTCTTTGTTCTCTCTCTAGAGAAAGCTATGAATGTATGCTTTAAAGAGCCATGTCGGATGCTGCCATGAGATAACGCCAAGACATGGTCGAGTCTCTTCAAGCTCTCTCCTCCGTCCCTGCTGCTGCGGGGCTGAAATTTTTTTGCCAGTGCGCGTCACACTGGCAGTTTCGTCTCATCATTCCTGGTACAGACACCTGTTGGAGCAGCCTACATGACTTTGGTAGAAATTACAAACCTCCTATTCCCAAGTGGGGAAAACAGGAGGTTCAAACAGATGACAGTAGTTCCCTGACCAGCAGTTTGTGGTTGTTAATATCAGAAAGAACATTGAAAACATGCGTCCCACATTCCCACAGCCATCCCGACTGACTCAAAACTATGCTATCTGGTATCATGCAAATCCCAGAGACAGTGACACCAAAATGTGGTGTATATTATGAATATATATGAATATATCCTATATCATCTTTATCTGATCCTGTTTTATGTCAAATGAAATCGCTAATTCCTTCATTTTTATGTCTTTGTGATGATAAGCAGTTTGGGGAGAAAGCGTGTACTTTATTTGCACATCTGACAATCATGGTTTTGCTGGCTACTTTCTAATGGTTGTCTATCGGATGGCCTTTTTAACAAGCATTCTCAGTAACTTCGATCAGGTGACATTATGGCTTAGATACACACAGTATGCACTGATTTGTTTCCCCCCCTTTATCATATCTTACAGGCACTTAATTTAACGGTGGTGAACTTCATTATGCAGTGTGCATGCTGTTTTTACATTGTGAGGGTTTATCATCACAGTTTTGTCTCAACAAAGTTCACGATCCTTCCGTAGATATTGATTAAGCCGAGGTTTTCACTTGGGACTGTGAAAAATGAGAATGTATTGTATTATTTTATACATGTATGTGTACATAAGACTAGTAATCTATTAAATTCCATGTCTTACTAGTTCATTTGCAGAGAGGTTTGAGACAGAAGCTGCAGTAACTTTAAGCTTATTCGTTTTTATTGATCCAGCGCTATCCTGAAGTTTTGATCTATCTGAAAATGGAAACGCCTCCCATGTAAAAGAAGGTGGTTTTTGTTTAATCAGGTTTAATGTCATGAGTTGTCCTTAAAAATCCTCTTGATTATTGCACTTCGGAGTTGCTCAGATGTGTTTGGCTTTGTTTGTGACTCTCAGAAAACTTAATATTTGCTCAATATATTTAGCAAATTACACTCCATTGCCTCTAGGTATACCTGGCTAAAACTAATGCAGTCTGATACAGCAATCCTGCAATAAATCAACCCTCACGAAAGTTCAGTTTTTGAGAGATGTTTACTCAACTGTATGATCATTTCGTTCGGCGGATGTAGTTTACGGTGCTGTTGAATTGTATTAAATTCTACTGACAGGTGCTTTTATTATTTTGTCCCCCCCATTTTTTTTTATCAGTGAGGGTCGGCTAAGTACCAGAAACACTTCTCTGTATAATGTCGTACAGCTCAAGAGCACCACAAACTGCTGCTTCCAAAATGATTGACATTACAACCTTCATGAAGCAAGGTTCATCAGTTATGTTTTGATTTTCCAGTTCCCCGATCTAGCAAGTGGGTCAGAAATCTGCCTGTCTGAAATAATTTTTAATTGCCCCTATACTAATTGTTTTATTTATTCTTGGTTATTAACTTAACGATGTCACAGAAAACAACCCAATTTCCTTGCCTTGCTCCAAGTTTTAGGCAAACTGCACAATCCATAGAGTTTTGCCTCCATTCTTTAACACCACCGAACTACACTCTTCTTTCCAAGATAATGAAACGCTTGCTTGCGCTTTAGCTCATAAACTTTGTCTTTACCTGCCGTTACTTTCTCCTGAGTGTCTGATTGGTACTGCGCATGTGCAACTCTGAACAGAGATGAAAAGGACATGAGATTCCTCACTCCTGAGCTGCTTCCATCATCAGCTCTGGCAGAAACAGTGTGTTTAATCCTAATAACCATGTGCCCAATGTGGCATTTTACTTGCTGTGGGCCATTAGGCAATCCTAATTGTTGGGCCTGATGAAGGTTAGATTTATTTCAGTTGTATCAGACTGCAGAAGTTGTAGCTAGGCGTACTTAATAAAGCGACAACTAAGAGTTTATCATACTCATTCTTCACAGGAATGATTCGTGACAATGATAGTTGAAAGTTTCTTTTTGTTATTGTCATTTATGTTGATCATGAGTACTGCTACATTCTGCTCTTTTAGTCTGGACCAGTAAATTATTTTTCATGTTCCTTCTCTCCTCTTCGGTACATTGAGTATACGAGGATAACAAAAAAATCAATAATGCTGAAACTAATGGTTCCTTTTTATCAACAGTTGCTCAAAATGGACTACATGTACGTGTTAAGCAGCACATAGTGTATCGGTACATCTCAGTGGTACGTGCAGATGTGAATTCATGCATTCATTCACTGTCTTGGTTCTAACTTTTTAAATTTTGTCAGTGGTCCGCTCTGCTTTATTGACCAGATGAACACATTCCAAGCCTCTTCCTCTGAATTTGACATTACCAAACCCAAGACCAAAAACCAATATGATTTCATGAGTTCTCGACACACTCCCTGCTCCAGCAGAAGCAGATCCTTGTTACATGTTCTCTGATTCTTGGCCAAGGTCAATGTTATGCCCCGTCTGAGCGATTGAGGAAATTGAAATAAAAACTCGCAGTGATAAGTCACACTAATGGAGTTACATGTCAGGGACGGTGGCGTACTTCTCTTCACTGTTGAATATTTTTCTGCCAACACAGCATAACTTAATGTGCATTTGTATTGTTTTATTCTCTGAACGTCCTGTATGACTTTATACCAAAGTTTAGCAGTAACTGCTCTGGCAATATCCAATGCTGCTTTTTTTTGTATTGTTGAAGTTTTGCATTTTGTTTTCAATAGTATTTTTGGACCTTGTTTACCTGTACATTCTGTAAAGCATGTCTAAAGAGCCTTTTTTGTTACGTAGCCATTACTCTGACATTAAACATGAATTCTGATAATTTGGTTTGGAACGTTGATGTCTTTCTTATCATGCTTCTCGGGTAGACATAGGATTACTTGCGTTGTCTGTTATGCTGTCAATATACGTATCTGGTTTTGTCTGTAATATGCCTGCAAAGTAGCGGAAATAGCTCATCGCAGCTTCCAGAGTCCAAGGTGACAAATTCAAAGGGTTTGGTTTGTCAAAAGCCCAAGCATAATTAATTTACGATTATATACAGTGCATTCAGAAAGCATTCAGACCCTTGAATGTTGTTAAATTTTTTCAGGGCACAGATCTGGGGAAGGCTACAGAAAAAAATCTGCTGCATTGAATGTTCCCAAGAGCACAGTGGCCTCCAAAATAATGAAGCTCTGCATAAGTTCAATCAGAAAGACTTTCTTTGTGCTCATCCATTCACAATTCTCTCCAACTCCCACTGCTTCATCTAATCAGCTGACTATGGGTGTTCACTCTTGGAATTACCCAATCAAACTTTGCTATGATCTCTATCGGCCAATTGAGGATGCTACAGCAAAAGTTTAAATCTGGTCTCTCCTCCACTGCTGTCACTCAGCTGAGTCCAGGGCAAGCTCAACAAAGGCCCATTCCACTACTCATCCAGATCATCAGCACTTCTCCATCTTCTCTACATCTACACCACCTCTACCACCACCAGTGTCTAGACCCTGGGGAGTTCCCTATTTGACTATGGATTCATCACCCTCCTTAAACCATACCATCTAAACGGGGTCCAATCCCAATCCAATTTTTCATTCTTATGTGCATGAGTTAATAGATACTATTTTTACTATAAAAATAAGTGTGTCCTGATTGAACTAATATGAAAGACTTTTGGAACAACCACTACTCTTACTAGAGTAGTAGGAGTCGTCAAAATGAGCAAACTGGGGAGAAGGGCCTTGGTAAGAGACTAAAGAATCTGTTGGTCACTCTGGCTGAGCTTCAGAAATCATATGTGGAGATGGGAGAAACTTCCAGATGGTCAAACAACACCCAACACTCTTTATGGCAGAGTGACCAGACGGAAGCCACTCTTTACTGAGGAACCCAGGAAGGCACCTAAAGGACTCTCAGACTGTGAGAAACAGGATTCTCTGGTCTGATGAAGCCCAGATTGAAGTGTTTTTTCTAAGCGTCATGTCTGGAGGAAGCCAGTCACCGCTCATCATCCGCCCAGTACCATCCCAGCAGTAAAGCCTGGTGGTGGCAGCATCATGCTGTGGGGGGATTTTTCAGCAGCAGGAACTGAGGGACCTGATCAGAGTTGAGGGAAAGCTGCACAGAGCCAAGTACAGAGATATCTTAAATGAGAAACTTGATCCAAAGCATTCAGGACCGCAAACTGGGCTCACCCTCCAACAGGACACTGACTCTCAGCAGCCAAGATGTAGCAGGACTGTGAATGTCCTGAAGTGTCTCAGCCAGAGCTCTGACTTGAACCCGATCAATCATGTCTAGAGAAACCTGTAAATGGCTCTCTGCTGCTGTTCACCATCCAACCTGACAAAGCTTGAGAGGATCTTTAGAGAAGAATAGCAGAAAATCCCCAAATCCAGGTGTGCAAAGTTCGTCACGTCATACCGAAGACTCGAGGCTGTAATCGATGCCAAAGGTACTTCAGCTAAGTACTGGGTAAAGGGTCTGAATACTTACATCAATATGATTTTAGTTTTTCCTTTTTTCTCAGGTTAAGCAAAAAAAAAAAAAAAATCAAAACTACTCTTCAGAGTGTAGATTGATGAGGTAGAAAATTAAACAATTTCAGCATGAGGCTGCAACATAAAATGTGAAAAACTGAAGGGCTGTGAATACTTTATACATCCATCTATGTCATAACCCTCACCTATGGTCACAAGCTCTAGCGACTGAAAGTATGAGATCGTGGACACAAGCGGAGGAAATGAGTTTCCTCTGAGGGGTGGCTGGGCTCAGCCTTAGAGATAGGGTAAGGAGCAAGAACATCCAGAGGGAGCTCGGAGTAGAGCCGCTGCTCCTTTGCGTCAAAAGAGGTCAGTTGAGGTGGTTCGGGCATCTGATCAAGATGCCTCCTGGGCGCCTCTCGTTAGAGGTGTTCCGGGCACGTCCCACTGGTAGGAGGCCCCAGGGCAGACCCAGAACACGCTGGAGGGATTACATATCCCATCTAGCCTGGGAATGCCTTGGGCAGAGGGCCGTTTGGGGTGCTTTGCTTGGCCTGCTGTCCCCACAACCCAACCCTGGATAAGCGGATGAAAATGGATGGATGAATACTTTAATGAACTGTATAGCAGAAAAAGCTCACACTTTTAAAACTGGTACAAGCAAATGTTAGTCATTTTTGTTTGCTTCATTACCAAAATATTTGATTTTTTATTAAAAATAGTCAATTTTGAATCAATGATTTATCAAGTAACAGTTTCAGATTTCTGTGATGGTGTATTTTCACTTACAGTAGCAGGGCTTAAAGAAAAACGAGAGAAAATGTCCTTGCAGGATTTCATTTAGGTTACATGTAATTCCAGGCACAAGGGTCTGAACCACAACATGATTTCTGGGCACACCATGGGAATGATTTAAAAGGCCAAGCCATCTATAATCTGGATTTAGTCATGTCAAGCCAACACAAAGCCAGCTAATATGGGCCTTAAAAAAACCCTTAGTCCATCATCAGTCTTGACATTAAGAAAAAGGCTTCATTTTTAAAAGTCCCTCCCACACAAATCCAGTCGAATCCCAGGAAACATTAGACGAGCTGAATATCTGACTGTGCATCAGCCTTTTAAAGTCTGCAGTTTGTTTGGTTCCCTGCTCTACTCCCTGGTCGCCATCAAAGACATGATAGCATTGTTAATCATCCTCTACAAGGCGATGAATTATTCAGCACGACGTCCAGGGTGGCAACTGTGTATTTAAACACAAACTTCTGATGCATCACACCCAGAGAACAGAAACCACTGCTGCTTCATAAATACTACAGAAGGTGTGTTCCCTGCTTCTGGTTATAAAGTTAATTATCTAGACCACATGGTGCTGACGTGTAAGTGTCCTGTGAGTCAACACGTTCCAAATGGTCAAAATCCATCATGCCGTATTGGAGAGGTTTAGGCAAACTGTGTTCTGTGAGACACGACTAGTAATCTCCGGGGATGAAGTGACATTCACAGAGTTTAATTAACCTCCAAAGCTACACTTATTAAACACCACTTCAGTCTAGCATCATCTTGAATTTCTCATCAAGCTCCAGTTACATTTAGCATGAAACCAATATGATATAAAAATAAAGGAGCATTAACAGGGCCGTAAAAAATGGGGGGCACTCTAGTTTTCCACTTTTTATAGCGTGTAGGGTTTAGGGGGATATATTAGCAGAAATGAAATATAATAAGTATGTTTTCTTTAGTGTATAATCGACTGAAAATAAGAATCGTCATGTTTTTGTTACCTTAAAATGAGCCGTTTGTATCTACATAGGGAGCGTGTCCTTGTCTCCAGAGATTAAGTTTCACCGCCATGTTTTTACAGTAGCCCAGAATGGACAAACGCAACACTGGCTCAAGGGAGGGGCATTCGCATTTTCGCGTTGGCAATCGCGACTCAGCAGCCCCTGTGAAAAAAACACCTTTTTTTTTTTTTAACGTCAAACTGCTTTTTTTTTAGTGTTTTTACTTCGAAATCATGGGGTCCATTTGTTTTGGAGAAGAATTTATCATTTATAATTTATTTCACTCTGCAAAGAGAAATAAGAACATTGTGTTGTGTTGTGTTTTTAGCAGTTTAAATCACCTGGTCTATTTGTTTTGAAAAAGAGGAGACCTCTGCGGATAATTTGGCTCCTGGTAAAAACCTCCTGAACGTCTGGATCAGTAATAAGGTGAGTACACATAAAGTTAGCAGGTGCTGGGCTTGCGGTACATCTGCAGGGTGCCTAACAGTGTGGGAAAAACACTTTATTCATTGTTTTTTTCCGGGTTAAATCACCGGTCCGTTTGTTTTGGAGAGGAAGAGACCTCTGTGGATAATTCTGCTCCTGGTAAAAACCTCCTGAACATCTGGATCTTAAGTTATTGGAGAAAAAAGTTGAGCACACATAAGCTGGTGCTGGGCTAGCGGCCTGTCTGACATGCCAAACAGCGTAAGAAAAACACTGATTTGTAAGCTAATACTGCTCTGTTCAGTGTTTTTACCAGTTTAAATCACCTGGTCTGTTTTTTTTTGTTTTTTTTTTGAGAGGTAGAGACCTCTGTGGATAATTTAGCCTATACCGTTAAAACCTCCTGAACAATGAGCGCTGAAGGAATCCTAACCGGGAGGAGTTTCAGCTGGTTGCAATCTGCAGTCCTCACCACTAGATGCCACTAAATCCCCTAAATTTTACACACTGCTCCTTTAATACATTAAAAAGTGATGAAATAGAGAGACAGCAGTGTTTGACATTGATTGTTCCCACCCACAGCAGCTTCCACTGGGGTACGGCAACACCACTAGCACAATTAACATGCAGAGCTGCAGTACACCACAATACTGGGACCAGTAGTAATAATAATTGCAATGTGTTAAGTTCATTTATGATTATGATTAAATTTGCTTATTATTATTTTGGACAGCGTTACATGCTTGCCTGTTGAAGCATAACCTTTTTTCCCATTTATATTCATATTAGGGGGGATATTTGCCCCCAGTATATAATATAATCACTGCCTGGAGATGTTATAATTCATAAATAGTTTGACACAAACAAACATAAATTCATGTAAATATACCAGCTCATGCAAAACCTGTGCTCCCAGGCCATTACATATGTAGGCTCTGAATATAGGTGGGAGTTTCCCCCGTAATTAAAGGTCAGATTATCTGCACTAGACCCACATATGATGATAATATATGCATGAACAAATCACTGAGGCTACTCTCAGCATTTGGAAAAACAAAGATAACAATCTGGTGATAATCAACGCTTAGATCAGATCAGTCATCCTCTAATAGCTCATACATGCAGAAATGCAGTTGGATGCACTT